CTGGATGAAGCAAAGGGGTTCGTTAATTTTCTCCGGCAACAGTGACCCCTTGTGATTGTTTGCAATTTTTTTTGGTGCGGTAAACGAACACTCGCACGGCGTTGAAGTGGCCGGGAGACGTGTACGCGCGTAAAGTCAGTTTTCAAACGTAACGGAGGAGAGGAGGTGGGACACCGTGCGAAGTCAGTTTTCACAGGATTGGGGTAAGGAAGTTGGACAACGCGCCGGGAAGTCAGTCTTCGCGCGTTAAGGATTGGGGAGTGTAGTAAGTTGGGCGAGTTGGTATGATGACATTTACATCTCTGGGAGAAGTCAGTTTTGACTCATTACAGGGTGAGGAGGTCAGATGCCTGAGCGGAAAGTTTTAACACGTTATCAGGGAGAGGTCGGACACGTACGCGCGAAATTAGTTTGCACACGTTACAGCAGTGATGACTCTAGATGGACCGAATGAACGGTAAAGGTGCGAGCGCCCACCATAGAGCCCGCATAGGCGTCACGTATTAAACCAACGTGACGACGTACGTCATGACATCACGCGACACACGGTGTCCCCTGAAGTCGCGTGGTGTCGCTGTGCAACGTGACTTGACAGGACAATGCCACGTCATGGTGTCGGCTGCCGCCGGGTAACAGGTGGCTTGATGCGCGGCGTGACGTCATAGTCGTGCCGAGCCGGAATCTTTTGCCCTAGTGCCAAAACTGGCCTGCGTCGATATGGAGTCTGGTCGACGGCGCGAAACCTGCGAAGTGTCCCACTAACTCCTATCGCAGGAAAAGGAAAATATGGAAAACGTGACAACCGTAGTCAAGATATATATATATAGTATGTACCAGTTTTTTTTTTTTGCGAACTATTTTTGTTTTGTGTGTTTGTTTACACATGACACGAAACTTGAACTTGGAAGCACTTGCTTAGGAAATCCGGTCTTCCTCGAAATGTTTCAACTTTCAAAACCACAACACGAGCAACTTTACGAGCATGGACACACATTCCGGCGTCTTATACAGCACGTTCGCTAAATCCCATGGACTAACAAAATGCCACGGACTGCATAAAATCAACAGGATATCACACGATGATGAATCGGTACCTCGCCGTGACCTTACGCGGCGCACCTCCCGAAAAGGAGCAGCGCAACATCGCTGCGATCGGAGAAAAAGACAAACGATGCCAGCGCTCGAGCGTGCACCAATTTTACCTTCCACGCGAGTCAGTCCCACAAGGCGGAACGCGTCGCATTACAGATTGGACGCGTGTATCTTGCGGACCGCGAAGTCTTGAAACAGATCGCTCCTCGAATTTCGAGAGAGGGGGGAACTTTCGGTTTCAACTCAGGTTACCCCAATGCCCCCCCCCCCCCCCCTTTCCCCCAAACCCACTCGTGAAAATACCAGCGACACGGCTACCCTCCGCGCATGCGCGTTGCAGGCCGACCTTGTCAACTTCGCTCGCCGTCCCACTTAATGGGGCACCGGCTCGCGAAATGCCTCTGTTGCGTTACCGTATATTAATGACCAACTTGCGTAAAGAAAGAAGCTGATCCCCGCCTCGAATTTGTTACTAACCTAAAGATATACCCGCGCGCACGCGCTGATAGGCCAGCGTGGGGTGCCGCTGCGATTGCGAGGATCAATAGACCATTTGCGGTATTACCCAAGCATCAAGGAGGATGCAGGGATTAGCGTTCCACGCGCCGCACGCGCACGCCTTCCCCGTATAAAAGATTCGAAGTAAATAACCAAAATAAAGCGTTGCCGAGTGCGCGTCAAGGCGCCATTTGTTTTAGGTATTTGCTTTAGAAAAGTTAATACTACTGAGGCCAGCACGTGCGGCGCGTGGAACACCAATCTTTGGATTCTCCTTGATGCTTGGGTAATACAGCAAATAGTCTATTCGTTTACGGGTACTGGCGTTCGACGACGATAATAAACGCCGACGGCGCGAAAATACAAAAACAAAAAAACGCTATGTAAGTTTTTGCCGTGACTCGAAGATAGACGTAGCGAAGACGGTTGTCGGTCATCCTTTGGCGTTCTACGTCATTTTCATCCAGTCGTGAGGATGTTTCGTGAGACGTAATTGCAGTTGTTTGGAAATAATGTACGCGTCCAATAAACTTTCACGGCGTCGACCTTTGATCAGTGCGCTCATTTGTTTCAGCTGGGCTGCCTGCCGCAGGTGTATAGCGAGATAGCGGACGATTATACTACGAGGGAAAACTGCCATCGTTTCATCGTTTGACGAGAAAACAGTTAATAAGTTGCAACAGCGTGATAATTGCGCGATAGATCGGACGATGACCGTAAGGGCGTGCCACGATTTGGCCTTCGCAGCGTTGAATCGGAGGTCTCGGGTATCCAATCTTATACGCGTTTCGTGCAGTGTGTGAAAAAAAAACAAAAACAAACAGACAAGACAGTTGAGACATTAGAATACTAATTAATGAGTTAACGTCGTAGACTCCACAAACACGTGAGCTGACATGGCTCGATCGAGCTGCGCCGACTTTCTTAAATACTCCGCAGCAGATTATACTTACAAAACGAGTTGTTGCCGTATTACTGTTATCATGTCACAGAAACATGGTATCACAAACTAGCGGCCTACGTTTGTGCCACGTCAAAATGAAGAGCACAGGTGCGCTGTCGAACACGAGCGATCCGGAACATCGTCGGTGCTCATCGAATCCATCAATTGCGGAATGCGTTCGGGCTACAACTCAAGGAAGCCCAGAAGCGGAAGACGCTACGACACCCAGAAAAAAACACATTTTCCTCTTCTGTTACGAGGAACTGGGATCCGGATACACCGTACAAAAAGCTTGCGTCAACTCGGGGATTCCTCGTTCGGCGGGAGTGTTTTACATGCAAATATCACGCCAACGCGTTGCGTTTTGGAACAGAGCCTCTCTCCCCCCCCCCCCCCCCCCCCCCAATGTAGCGCCGAAGAACAGCGTATATTTGGTGAGAAGGAGAACAGGGACGGCCCTTCCTCCTCTCCAGTGGTTGCAACCCGCACCGGCGAAACACATGCTGAAACCCAAAGCGGACAGTGTGTAATTAAAGGGGCGGTTGCCAAGATGGCGTCATTTTTCTCCCGAGACGCTTTCTCCTCGGCGTCTCTTCTTCTTTTTTCCCGCCGCTGGGTCTGCAGTGAGGGCGAGTCGCCCTGGAAGGTATCGTGGCTCGCGCGACCTTGAGTTTGACAAGAGCTTTCGGAGGATGCCCCCGCAGGACTACTTAAAGGGAGCGCTCTTCACGGTCGGGACATCGCCACCGCTGCTCTCCTCTGCAACAGGTGAGTTGCGGACGCGCGCTCTCGTCGTCGCCGACGTCGCTAAATTCTTTTTTTTAATCATTCGCGGCTTTTTGGTGGAGGAACGAGTGCTCGCTTCGCTTTCGTGGTGCCTGTTCTCTTTCGAGATTATCGGTGCAGGGGCTCTGAAGCCGCTACTCTTACCATTTACCCGTGAGCCTACTCTTATCGTCAGCTTGCCAATTTATTCGCTGGGTTGTGTCTGTCGTGAACTTCACGAAGTGTCGTAAATTAGAGGAAGGTATGTTTTCGCTCCAAAAAAACGAAAGCAATTTGCAGCCTCCAGCTGAGGAACTGAAAATTCATTTCGTGCACCTGGGGATGTCTAACGGGCAACCGAAATTTTGTTTATTTATTTATTCTTGAAACTACATCTTTTAGTGGAGGTTTTGGTACAAGTGGGAGCAATGGTTGAATAATACAGGCAATGAACAACAGAAAAATAAAGTAAGCGTCACCAATATGAGCACCATAGGTACGAAACAGCTTGCGGTAAGCAGCATTTACACCCTGGAAAGCACTCTTTCTTGCAGCACTACGACTGCGATATCAGTCATACCAAGCGCCTATGCCACAACTGGCCTTCGTCAGATTGCGCGCTCATCGGCCAGGATAACTTCTCATGTTGAGACCTCGCGTTTTGACCATAAACCCTATTTTTAGCGTACACTATGAACGCCAATGTAGCTGTACAGCACGTATTATCACGCTTGCTGTTCATTGCTTTAATTCGTAAGCGACTTTTTCGGGCTTTTGGAACTTTAATGTGCTGGAGCTGTGTAGGTATAAAGTTCGAGATAGACCTGATTCACGCACTGCGTTCCGTAACACTGCTGCCAAAAAGGGGCTGTCAGTTGAACATGACGAAAACTTCAGCGCATAGTGCACGGTTGCCACGATGATTAGAACCGTTCAAGATATGGGCTTCGTGATTATCGAGTAGAGGTTGCGCTGCATATTTCTTTTTTTCTAACCAAATTCCCTGCCACGTTGTCTTCGAGGCGCTCTTCAAAAGAACCTCAAAACAGTATTGTAGTGGGCAGTAGAAGGGGGGTGCGATTGGTAAATTCACTCAGCGGCCGAGAGCGATCTCACCCTTTATGCTTCGTGTGTACTCGTGGTACACATCCCGACACCATTAGCGCGAACACGACATCTGCGCATTTTTTAATTTTACTTCTAAATAGTATTAGCGAGCACGAAACTTTATCTCTTACATTATAGAACTAATGAGCTCTTTCCGTAGCAATAATAACTTGGATGACATCCCTTGGTTTCAAATAGAAAAGCTGGAAAAACCGGCGATCGCTTGTTCGCGCTAACAGTGTCGCGCTCTGTACCATCTTTAAGCCTGCAAACAGCGCCACAACGGCAAGAACCAGTCACTTCTGCGAAAATTGGGCTCTAAATAAAACAGCGCAGGCAGATGTATAAATAAACATATAAAGGGTATTTTTTTTCTCATTCACAGCTGAGCAATACGTCTAGAGAGTGAGTTAAAATGTGTCATCTGCCCAAGTTTTGTTAGCATGTGTTTTTTTTTTATAGTCCTGGAGTGCAAGGTTGATTATTTGGGGCTTTGTCGGAGAAGCCGTCTTCTCGAGTGGCCTGTCGCTGTGCTGCTTGTCTTCTCGGGGTTTTCTGCAAAGTTCTCGCCTTTCCTGTTTCTGGCACGCAGACGAACACATCTGACGCCATGAGGAACTTCGTAGTCGCACTCTTGGGCTTCGCGTGCCTGGCGCTCGTTGATCAGGCCATGGCCGGTTACCTGCTCGGAGGCCACGGCGCTTACGGGGGCTCTGGAGGCTACGGGGGCTACGGCTCCGGCGGCTATGGTGGCGGCTACGGCTCTGGCGGCTACGGCGGCTACGGCGGAGGCGGCCTTGGCGGATACGGAGGTGGCCTTGGAGGTTACGGAGGTGGCCTGGGAGGATACGGAGGCTACGGCGGAAACAGTGGCTTCGGAGGAGGCTACAAGAAGAGCTTCGGAAGCTTTGGAAGCAACTACGGCAGCAGCTACGGCGGTGGCTACGGTGGCGGCTATGGCGGCGGCTATGGTGGCGGGTAAGGACGGCTCGCCTTACTATGTCGTGTTTCAATACCTTACAATTTTTGGACCAAGAAGCTTTTTTTTTTTTCTATTTTGGCGTCTTATGTTATAACTCTGGGAAAAGGGCTATTTTGGCAAACGGAAATGAAGTGTGATCATAAGGAGCCATGCTAACAAGGTCGTTAAGCATCACTACGAAGAACATTACTCATAATTAAGGTTTTAACAGAAAACTAAGAATGCTAGTTTTGGTTAAGCTTTCTGTAAAGAAAATCAGTAAGCTCATAATCAGCATTTTCTTGCTCTAGTTCTGCTAGATACAGGAGTTCGTGATACGCGGCGGCATCAGTAGAGAATAGAAGGAAAATATTGTACAATATTTAATTACTATCGTCACCTGAACTGAAATTAGCGCCGACCTCGACTACTAGTGATGTATAAATGAAGCGTCTAACACTGATTCCGAGAGGTTGCATTGTAAAGGAACCTGAAAATTGCCTCGAAGTTAGTCCTTAACTCGTAACAAATAATGTTAAAAAGAGTAACTCCGACAATGTGACTGATTGCATTATCTAACCAAGATAGCAGGCGAAGCGCAGTTTGTATTTATGAGAAACGGGTGAACTCAAAATGTAAGGCTTATTGCTGTTTTTTTGTTTTTTTCCCCTCCTTTTAACAGACGCGGTTTTGGCGGCGGCTACAAGTCTGGTGGCTGGTGGTGAGTCCCGAAGGCGTAGACATGAAGACGGCAAAAGTCATCGAGCGATCTCCAGCAGCTGTCCGCAAGCTGACAGCCCTCGCTGCGGGCTGGACCCGCCCACACTCCGGAGCAATAAAAGAAAGCTCTCACCAAACACAGACCACTTCTTGGTTCATTATTATTATTTTTTTTTTTTATTTTTGACTAGCCAATTAGATCTACAAACTTCATCGGCTACTAGATAGGCTACGTTTAGGGTATCGACACTCCACCTTTCGATTGTCCCATGAATGCCACCTTGTTGCTGCCTAGAGAGCAGCGGACGCAATTTACGAGTTACGATTAAAAAATGTGCGTTTCTGAGCTTTGGATACTGGGCCAGGAAGCTCAGACTACGATGTCGCGTTGCTCTGTCGCGGAATCTTTTAACATTTCTGGAGGATGGAAAAGCGTTTTCGTGTTACTTCGGATAAAGGTGTGGATAACGGCTAACAATGATTTTAAGTAACGAATTGACTGGAGCTTCGTTACTCTGAAGCTTATGGCGAATTCCACTGGGCGTTTTGGAGCGCGCCGGAATCAGTTGACCAGATCCGGAAGGGAGCACACGATCCGAACGGGGTCGCGCCGCCTACGGATCCCCTGTGGAACATGACCACTGCTCCGGGATCGGCAGATGCCTTCCCGTCATTCAACTGCCCGGGAATCGCCTTTCCGCGGCCGCCGCGGTCGTTTCGAAGACATTTTCGCAATCGCGGCGCTAACACGTGTTCGACGCACGAGCGGCAGGAATGGCTCAGGAGCTTCTAGCAAAGGTTGTCGCAATGCCTGTAGCGCGGCAAAACCTTTTCTTCTCTTTCGTGGAAAACGAACCGGCTGTCGAGCCAAGGGGTAAGCAAGCGGACATTACGAATTCTTCTGAGGCGAGATGGGCGAGATCAGGCGAGATGCCCCGCGAGAAAGTAAGTCACGTGTGTGCGCCGAGGGCTGGCCCGGCTGGCTTCTGTTTGAATCCGCCGAAATCGTCGGAGCGGCTTTTTTCGGATCCAGATCGAGATCTGGAGCGGGAGCTAATCCTAAACGACCAGTGGAACACGTCCGTCTCGATCCCGATCGCCCAGTGAAATTGGCTCGCTCCAGAAAAGTCGATCCCAGCGCGCTCCAAAACGACCTCTGGAATTCGCCATTAGGTTATTTGGTGGCTCCCAGTGGGTAAAGTAAACAAAAGGGGCTCGTACGCCTAGCAGGAGGAACATAAAAAAAAAAACAATACCTGTTGTGTGTATGTTTATACAACCTAAAGTTAGTCAGCCCCAATGGGTGTTTGATGTCTCAGCCGTAGATGAACAATTCAGCCAATTCAGCCAGTGCAGTAGAACCGCTAGCCTGGGGTCTTTAACGTGCATCACGCAGTAGTGATACACGACCGTACGCCGGTACAATGTTCGTCCAGATCAAAACGGGCAGGGATTGAACCCAAGTTCCCTGGTTCTGTAGCTCGAGCTCCGAGCTGGTGTGAGCTATGTACTCCGTTCACCCTTAAAGGCGGGCGCTCAAAATTTTCTTCAGCGTGGCAGAAATTCCCCCTCTTTTCTTTTTTTCCTCCTGCCCTTTCCTCCTCCATTTCCCTCCTCGCTTTTTTACTGCCTTCTCGCACGAGTGCTAATGGGCTTACCGGCCCCCCGAGAAACTCTCTGTATCCCTTCAAGGTTCTCTGCTTTAATCCCAAACATCAGGGATTAGTTAGGCAGCCTGGACATGAGCTCGGAAGGGTTCGGGCTGGCTCGCTTTTCACCTATTTATTTTTTCCTTTTTTTTTTTACTCTTTTTTTTTTTTCAGCTCTAAAACACACTCAGATAGTCAACACCAACTAGCCCAACAACAAGTTCTTTTACATTCAGATACTTCCGCGAGCGGCCACATACGCTACAACACCGTAAACGGTGGTATATTTATCTCGAGTGAACGGAACTTGAACATCACAGCAGAAGGAAAAAAAGATGGGTATTTTTATCTGAACTTTGAGCTCTACCCAGAGAGTTGAAAATTGGTCGTTCTAACAACGGCACACTGAAGAGTGATTGTATCACTATTGTGTTTTTGTTTTTCTGTTTTTTGTACAAAGTAATAATCATGAGTAATTACAAGTCAAAGATATTGCAGTCAGAGGGACACAGTCTGACCATTTCTGAGGCATAATATATAGGTTCGCACTACAGGTGTTTTTTAGAGTGACGGCCGCCTCGTTGAAGCTACTAAGAAGAGTAAAAACAAACTTCCATAAAAACTGAAACGGTTTATGGTATATTTCATCTATTTTCAGCCTTTGAAAAAAAATTCTTCGTGGCCAAACGTGCATTCAGTTTTTGTCAACAAATGTAACTCGCGTGGCTTCCTTCTGACCTGTAACAAAGCTTATGAAACATGACAAAATACCTTGTGATAAAGCGCCCGCCCCATCATAAACTCAATTTAGAATGTCCCGGGATTTGTTTTCATAGGCCGGAAAAAAAAAAAAAAGAGATGCATGCAAAGCCGCGTGTTTCACGCTTTATTTATATCAGAGAAGAACTGCCCTCTGTTTTATATACAGCGTTGGTTTTTTTCTTTTTTTCACCTACTAGATATTAGAAAAAACGTGCAAATTAACGTTTTGTGGATGTGAGCTCGACGGCCAGGTGAAGATTGGGTTCAAGAAAGAACGCAACAAAACCGACTGGTTACCTAAAATTTGTTAATGAAATTTTTGAATATAAAAGAAAACGGGATAATTTTTGTCAGTATATTGTCATTGTTAGCTTTATTATCACTTTTTACGTGCATTTAGTGCTCTTGTTTTCTATTTTGCGCTCTCGGTGCGTTTTGTATTTAATCTTGTAACCACTTTATTCTTCGTAGCTCTGTTGGAGGTATGAATCATATTCTTTTTTGTGTGTGTGTGTGTTTGTTCCTTCCTGCCACGGCCCCACGGGCCAGCAGTATGTACAAATATATAAATAAATAAAGTTGTTGGGCATAATCGAAAGCCACCAAATTGTCCAGTGAAAATTAGCGCCATTGCGATTTGTGTAGGTGAGCTGTACGGCCAGGCGAGGATTAGGCTCAAGAAAGAACGCAACTAAAACCGACCGATTGCCTAAAATTCGCTAATTAACCTTTTAGTTAGAAAAGAAAAACGACATCGTGTATTTAGAAAATTGTTGGTCGTAATCGCGAGCCACCAAACCGTCCATTCTTAAAAAGATGTAACGCGCGTACACTATTATACGGCGTCTTGATACGGCGTCCTCCTACTTTGAGCGCGAAAATATAGTTCTGATTTTATGTGGGCTCCATCTCCGCGTGGCACAGCCTAACGCCATGAAGCCAAAACGACAAATCATGCGCATCGCTGTGACAACGTCACTGTAGAAGGGGCGAGGAGTGCGGCGGCCGAAAAGATTGCGGTAACACGATTCGCGTCCAAATTCGACATTTCAGGACGCCGTGAACCACTTCACGTGCACTACATCTCTTTAAAAATGAATGATTTGGTGTTTTTGATGACTACAGATAAGGCACAAACCGAAATTGCGTAACTCGAACGTCTTTTGTAGAAAAATGTCTACTCGTAAAAAAAAAAAAAAAAAAAAATCGCTCTGTATAAGCGCGATTGTAAGGCAGTTCTTTACGTCCGGCGACATCATCACGGCATGGAAGGAGACGTTGACCACAGATCATACGCTGTGTATGATCTGTGGTCACTGTTTGTTTGTTTTTTCGTACGAGAATGAGCAAACATTTGATACAAAATAAAATAGATTTAGCATTCACCAAATTCGACTTGTTTTACTTGATTCAAATCGATATTTGATTTTATTACACTTATCTTGTACCCGCACACGCCTCCTTTATTCCCTAATGAGTTACAAGTGATAATTACATTGTTTTTTTGTCGTGCGAGGTCATCACAATTTATTATTAACAATCGGAGCTGTGCGATTACGCGGAGGCGGCGCATTCGAAGATATTCAAAATTGTTCTGAATACACAAACAGGCTCAAACGTCTCGCTGTTTGGGTCCTTTCCTACACGTATGACCAATAATAAAGCCAAAACCTAACAGAGGAGACTATCTCTATCTACTCAACGCGCAAACACGATGTGAAGCGTGTCTGCGTACGTTGGGAAAAGAGATACCGGCGAGCAAACCATAGCGTCGAATGTCCATGCATCAAAATGTCCGTGCACCGAAATATCCGCGCACCGAAAAGTCCCACACCAAAATGTCTTTGCAGCAAAAAGTCCGTACACTGAAACGTCTGTGCACCAAAACGTCCGCACCGAAATGCCCTACAGCAAAACGCTCTACGCTGAAAAGTGCTAGACCCACTACGGATGGGGTCCTCCGTCACCTCTGGCGGTTTACGAACCGTAATGATTCAGAACCACTGGTCTATGGAGCGCCATCCCTGATAGACAGAAAACGCCGCTCGTACTTCCCGTTGTCGCCATGAATCCGACAACGAAAGATGCCAAATCACATATTTATATTAAAATTTATACTTTAATGACTACTTCTTTGAGCAGAACGAGGTATTTGTGCTCTCACAACCAGCAAGAATCATCCTCCGAACCAATGCTAAAAGAGAGCCAATGCAACTCGTTGGGAAGAGCAAGTGCCAAGCTCGCTCAAAACAGCTACTCGGTTGGTTCAGCTCCTTGTCGCAGGTGTGCCGGCTGGCTTCTGGATAATCTTTTCAAATCCTCGAAGCTTTTTATTTCCTCCACCCCAAACTTGTCAAAAAAAAAAAAAAAAAAAAAATCGGAAAATGGTGAGGAGGAAACGAGAGGCGATTTTTTCCTTTCACAGTGGCGAGAAGGAAAGTGAGGGTCGGGTTCCTTCTCTCTGCTTGCGGGCCGGCCTTTAAGCTGAGACTAGAAGTTCCGCCTTCAGCGCGAGCTCGCCGGCTTCCGCGGTGCTTTCGTTGCGCTTGTCTGCGCGTTCACACTTGTGTTAGCAAGGGCAGAAAGCTCGCGCTGAAGGCGGGGCTTCTAGTGTCAGCTTAAGGGGGAACAGAGTATAGACCACTCGGGCCACCGATCACCCAGAGGAACTTCATCTGTCGAAACCAAGTGTGTGGAGAGCGCGCGTGTACGGTTTCAATTGATGC